GACGGGGCATGCGGACCAGGGGCCCCAGCAGGATCTGGGCAGAGGCTGGGCATCTTCCCATCTCGCCCCAGAGAGGGCCCCACTGTCCCCAGCGCCCCTACTCCCGGTGTCACCCGCCCCTGTGCCCAGAGGTGCTGCACCTGGTAGAGTTCCAGCTGGAGGAGGGCATCAGTGACGAAGAGGCTGTGGCCCTCATTGACCTGGAGGCGCCCCGGCACCGGCGTGAGGACAGGTGGCAGGAGGTGGCAAGTGGCGGTATCCTTCACTGGGCCGGGCGGGGGGGTGGGTGGGAGCCATGGCTGTGGCGGAGGTTCTAGCTTAACCAGGCCCCAGATTCCCAGACGCTGAGGCTGGACGAGACTGTGGACCCCTCGGGGGATGATGACCCGTTCACAGCCAAGCTGAGCTTTGAGGTGAGCCCCATGGGGAGCCTGGTGCCGGCCAAGGCCACCATGACCCCGTCCTGTAGGGAGAGGAAGGCCAGGGATCTGGTCACTGCCGAGGCTGCCTGGGGATCCTGGCCCTGCCTTGGCCACCGCAGCAGTCACGGCACCCGTTGTCCGTCTCCCTACAGCAGGGCGGCTCGGAGTTCATCCCGGTGGTGGTGGGCCGCGCGGTGCTGCGCTCCATGAGCCGCCGCGACGTCCTCATCAAACGCTGGCCCCCGCCCCTGCGCTGGCAGTACTTCCGCTCGCTGCTGCCCGACGCTGCCGTCACCATGTGCCCCTCCTGCTTCCAGGTACCTGCCTGCCTTGGGCCCTGGCCCCGGCGGGGTGTGGGGGAGACCTGGTGCCCAGCCTCAGGCCTCCGTGCCGCCTGTCTCTGAGCAGATGTTCCACTCCGAGGACTACGAGCTGCTGGTGCTCCAGCACAGCTGCTGCCCTTACTGCCGCCGGCGCATCGACGACCCGGGGCCGTGACAGGGCTGAGGGTGGCCGCCCTGCCGGTGGAGATTGCCGGGAGCCAGGGATGAAGGCCGTCCTGGGCGACCTGCGGAGCGTGGAGTCCTGTCCATGGCCGCTCCTGACAGCCTGTTGTACGCCGAGCTGGGAAGAAAACACGCAGCTATTTCCTAAGAAAAATCCTGGTCCTTTTGGAGTGGCCTAGTGACTGGCGGCAGCCTGCCGAGTGCATAGCTCGCAGGCCCGTGGCCTGTGCCCCACCCCCAGAGTGCCACAGGAATGACAAATAAAGGACGACTTATTGTCCTCGGTGTCTGCATTTTAGCAGGTCTTCATATTGTCTGCAACTTGATTTCCTTGTGCAAAAGTGCACCTGTTTCTAATTTGATCCGAGAGGAACATTGCATTTGTGTGCTCTTACAATTTAATCTAATCGAAATAGCAGCCTGGGAGGGGAGTTTCTGTTGTTTATTTACTTTGGTGTTTTGTGTTTTTTCTCATCTTTTTTGAGACAGGGTCTCACTATGTAATTCAGGCTGGCTTTGAGCTCACTTTGTAGCCCAGGCTGGCCTTGAACTCACAGTGATCCTCCTGCCTCAGCCTCCCAAGTGCTGGGATTACAGGTGTGCACCATGATGCCCGGCTTGTTTATTTACTTTGGTTTGATGAGGCACTGTCTGGACAAGACAATACGATACCCGCTCCAAAGAACACACCAGAGAGCCAGGCATAGTGGCTCACCCAGTAATGCCAGTGCTCTGGAAGCTGAAGCAGAAGGATTGCCATGAGTTCGAGATCAGCATGGGCTACATAGTGAGTTCAAGGCCAGCCTGCACTACATAAGGAGACCCTGTTCCCCCCGCAAAAAAAGAATCCAGAGAGACCCTTGGAGGTCCCAGCTGCTGAGGCCCACGGGCACAGGAGGGGTGACCAGTGGGGAGCTGGGGACCACACACCTGCTGGGGCTTCTGTGCTGTCTCCGCCCCGCCTTGCAGGCCTGGAGTGGGCCACGGCCCCTGCCACACCTGTCCAACCCCACTGAAGGACGCTTCTGGATCACGGGGTAGAGTGGGGGCTGCAGAGGCCACGCCCCAGCCTGCCCCCGCCATCTCCATGGAGACAGCAGGAAGATGGAGAAGGAGCCAGACAGTTGTGCCAACAGAACTCCTCCGCCGAGCGCCTAATTACTGACGATCATGCACGCTCTCTCCCACTAAACAGTTATTAATGTGTTAGGATTTCCATTAGCGCGTTTCTTGAACTGAAATCATTTGCATTTGGCCGGGAAAGAGGGACGCAGAGAAAACAGCTCAGCCTCCCAACAGGCGTCAATCACGGTGACAGATTAGATGGTCCCTGGCCCCCACGGTGGCGGGCGGGCGCAGTGTCCTCTGGCTGCAGGCAGCAGAGGCAGAGGCTGTGCTCTGGGGCCACCCTGGCTGAGGAGCAAGCCCGCCATTCCCAGGCTTCACAGTGTGGTCTCCGGCTGGCAGGTCTGGGCCTTGTCCCGTCCTCACTCAGGCTCCCTACCGTACCCAGGACCCCTCCAGCGGAGGCCGTGAGGAGGGGGACCTGACCCCAGTGACCTGTCCCTGGCTCCCACATGCGGGGAGAGACGAGGGCCAGGCCTGGTGCAGGCAGGGCCGCAGCTGGCCGTGTGTCCTCGGCCTGTTTCCCATCGCTCCCAGCAAGGCTGCCGAAGGCAGGAGCACCGGTAGGCAGGTGTCAGGTCCCCAGTTTAGGGCTGAGCAGCAAGGAAAGGAGCTAGCCGGGCGGGCAAGAGCCCATGCAGGCCGCCACCAAGCCAAGGCAGAGGAGGGGGCCGGGAGGGGGCAGGGGCTGCTGACCCAGCAGCCTGGGCGCGCTCAGCTCCGGGGACTCAGCTGTAATCCTCCATGGTCACTTTTCCCCTAGCACCGGCCACCCCAACGAGGGGTCAGGACTCAGGAAGTCCCTCCGGCCCAGGTGTGGTGTGGTCACGCTGCTGGGTGCACAGGACCGTGCCCATGCCCTGCTGTGCGAAGACAAACCACATGGCACACAGCAGCGCGCAGGCAGCTAAGCCTGGGGGAATGTTGGGGCGGCACCCGGGTGACAAGAGTCCCTCAGCTGAGCACACAGTCACTCACAAGCATGGTGACAGAGGGAAAGCAGCACACCTGAGGGGTTCGTGGTTGAAACAGAGCCCTCTCTTGGGGACACTGCTGTGCTCCCGGCCTATTTGTCTCAGTTTAGAGCCTTCCTACCAGCCCACTGGAGCTGGCCCCCCAGTCACTTATACTAGCATGTGAAGGGCCAACACATCTTTCCTGAGCACTGTCTCTGACAGGTAAGGGAGGAAGTGACAGATCCCTCACGCAGCGCGTGACTGCAACCCAGGCCTTCACAGACTGGCCACGTGGCCTAGATGACCGCCGACTCTGTCTCCATCTGCAGAATGGGAGCATCAGGGAGCGTGGGCATGGATGGCACCTGCCGGCCCTCGGCACCTCCTAGGTTATCTTGATGAGCACAGAGTCTTTCTGCAGAAATTGTCATGTTCACAGAATGCAGGGTGCTGTCACCTACTGCCCGGCAAGGCTGGGACTGGTCAAAGCATCACCAAGGGGAGCCCTGGACAGGGCTCCAAGCTTCCCGCAGCCCCCTGGGCCCGGTTGTCCACTTGTTCATCCAACAAGCCCTCCCAGAGCTGCTGCTGTGCACCGGGCAGGAACGCAATGGACGAAGCCCAGCTCCCCTGCTGTCCCACGCGCTGGGCGCTGTGCTGGGCTCGGGGCCCCTCCTGAGCCAGCAGCCAGGCCCCAGGCAGCGCACCCTGGGGCTGCGAAGGCACCAGTCCACACCGCAGTGTGGGCGGGCAGCCTGCTCTGCCGGCTACAGGTCTGTGTCAGCCACGCTCCACCTTGACCTCATTAACGTAGGCGTAATAGCTGGGCCAAGCGCCTTAACGGCCCATGGTGCCCTCGGCCCTCAGTGGCCACGTCCTGTGAGAGCCTAAGGCTGCTGGGAAGGACAGAGGCTGAGATGGGGGTGCTTCAGAGCAGACAGAGCGCATGGCCCCAGCTGCAGAGACCTCCCTGTCTGGGCTTCTGTGCTACCTCAGGACCTTTGCATGGCTGGCTCTCTGGCTCAGGTGCTGGCCTTTGGTGGCTCCAGGTCACGTTCCCAAGCTCATCCCTGGCTCATAACCTCTGCCACCCACCTGCCTCCAGGTGCCTAGCATCGAGCCCCTCATCTGGGACACCGCAGGTGCTCCGTGGGCACCCTGGGTCCCTGAAACTCCCACAGCCTCAGCTTCCCCTTCGCCCCAGGTGTCACTGAGTGCCTGTCACAGACTTCCTGCCCGTGCCAGGTGCCACTGTCCTGGGTGTGGCAGAGACTCTGAGCTCAGCGTATCCCCAGCCAGCGCCTGCTGCTTGTTCAGGGTCGGCTTCCTCGCAGATGGACTCCCAGACCAAGGGCCGGGCTGCTCAGGAGCCCAATCCCTGAGGCCTCTCCCACGTGCTCTTGTCACCTGCCACCCTATACCCCTCTGGGGCGTTCGAGCCTGCGCCTCTGCCCCCGGATGCTACAGGCTCGGTGGCCATTCCCACTGCTCGGCCTTGTCCCCCCGTGGCTCCCAGGACCCCCAGGCAGGCAGCTCTGTCCCCACACACGTCCACCCTCTCGGGCAGTGTCCCCTTCCTTCCCCAGCTCGGTGGCCCAGGGACCACTCGTCAGTGCTAGTGACAGCCTGGAGGAGCGAGTTCTTCATCACTGAGCTCCGAGGACAGAGACGGGGCCAGCTCCTGCAACGGGGCACAGACGGGGGTCCCAGTTCCCTGGCCTGAGCGGCCAGATGGAGACAGGCAGGCCTTCAGGGCCTGGGACGGACAAGTCCCTTCCCATCCAGGGTCCCGCAGGGCCCCTCCCCTCCTGGGCATCCGTCTGTCCCCGCGGTGTCACCTTGTCCCCCACAAGCCAATTAGGCCCCCGTGTAGTGAAGGATTAGTATGATTATGCCCCGATCTCCCGCAGGCTGAGTCAGCGCAGCTTAGGCCCAGAAGGTCACTTCATAAGGGCCTGGGGGGGCCGGGGCCACAAGTCGTCCCGGGAGCCCCGAGCTGCACAGGCCGTGCCGTCCTTCTTCTCTGGTGGAGCCGCCGCGCCCGCGGGGCAGACCAGACCGCAGCCATGAACGGCACGGAAGGCCCCAACTTCTACGTGCCCTTCTCCAACGCCACGGGCGTGGTGCGCAGCCCCTTCGAGTACCCGCAGTACTACCTGGCCGAGCCCTGGCAGTTCTCCATGCTGGCCGCCTACATGTTCCTGCTCATCGTGCTGGGCTTCCCCATCAACTTCCTCACGCTCTACGTCACCGTGCAGCACAAGAAGCTGCGCACGCCGCTCAACTACATCCTGCTCAACCTGGCCGTGGCCGACCTCTTCATGGTCTTCGGCGGCTTCACTACCACGCTCTACACCTCCCTGCATGGATACTTCGTCTTCGGGCCCACAGGCTGCAACATGGAGGGCTTCTCTGCCACCCTGGGCGGTAGGCATGGGGAGCCCCAGGGAACATGGGGGGCACGGGACAGGTGTCCAGGCTTCCCCTCAATCTTTCTCTCCTGTCATTAGCCAAAGTTCCTATTCATTCACTCAACAAACACCTTTGACGCTGAGGCAGGCTGCTGTTTGTGGAGGGCAGGTACCTCCGCTTGTAACTCCCATCAAGCAGGTTTCTGCTCACTTTTGGGGTTTGGTTTGGTTTTGGTTTTAGAGACCGTGTCACTGTGTGGCCCAGTCTGACCTCAAACTTGGGGCGACCCTTCTATCTCAGCCTCTTAAGTGCTGGGATTGCGGGTGTGCTCCACCGCTCTGCTGAATTTTACACCGAGGAACCTGGGATCCAGGCAGTCAAGGGCTCTCTTGGCCCGTAGGGAGAATGACCAGAGCTGAGTCTAAGCCTATGTTCTAGTTGGCTGCCTGGGGACAGAGCGGGCAGAGACAGACCCTGTCCTCCGGCAATGTCTCTGCCTGGGCCAGGCGCATCTGCCTCCAGTCATGGGCTCAGGCCCCTTCACAGCCTCGCTGCTGCCCTTGAGCGCTCTCTGTGTCGGGGACCACACGCCCTCCACAGCAGCGCCTTTCCCCAGCGTGCTAGACCCAGGTGCAGATCCACGGCTTCCAAAGTCCATCTGGAAAACAGTTGGTGGTGCTTACTCAGCAAGTGAGGAAACTGAGGCAAGGAGGAGGCCGGAGACTCTCAGGACCTGGCTGGGCAGGGACCAGCGTCCCTGGATGCGGACCCAGGCACCTTTCCTGGCCACAGGAGGACAGGGCTGGCAGAGCAGGTGATGGGTGGGAGCATAGTGCCAGCCACGGGCCCTGGGTGCTGCCGCCGCAAGGTCACAGGTCCAGTCTCTGCCAGACCCTGCAGGGCCAGCTCCAGGCCGGGGTAGGTGGTGCGCAGGCAGGTCTCTGAGGCCGTCACCTGGGCGAGGTGTTCCCCAGTGCTGTGGGTCCCCCGTGAACCCTGCGTCTGAGAGCCTCCTGTTGGTGCCAAGTCCACTCAGGCCCCTGGGTGGACAGCGGGCTGACAGCGGCTGTTGCTGCAGGTGAGATCGCCCTGTGGTCCCTGGTGGTGCTGGCCATCGAGCGTTACGTGGTCGTGTGCAAGCCCATGAGCAACTTCCGCTTCGGAGAGAACCACGCCATCATGGGCGTCGTCTTCACCTGGGTCATGGCGCTGGCCTGCGCCGCACCGCCCCTTGCTGGCTGGTCCAGGTAACGCCATCCCCAAAGCCACTGGGGCAGGCACTGGGGTGCTGATTCCCCTCCCAAGCCCCGTGTCAAGGAGACTCCCGGATCCCCCAATTCTTCACCTTGGCTGAGCTCCTAATCTTCAGCTAAGCCAGGGCCATAGCCAATCCTCTTTGTCCAGCCTGTGTCGACCTTGGGCTGTGGCAGCTCGCCTCACACACACGGTTACGTGGACCCTGGGAATGGGGTTCCCCACTCTCTAGGCCGCCGCCTCCAAAGGGGCTGAGATGGTGTCCCGAGCCTGTGGTCCTCTGTCTTGGGAAGCACGTTTCTGCCTGCCTCCCTCCACGTCACCCCAGGGCCCCTCCTCACCCTGGCTCCCCGTCTTCACCATCCTGGCCCAGTGCAGCCCGATGGTGCCGCGCAAGGCTGCTCCGGGTTAGCTGAGGTCAAGTGACCTCGCTCCCCACCCTCGGGAGTCACTGAAACACCCTGGCCGCACGTCCCTGGGCCTCATGTTCCCGGAAGCTGCTCAAAAACCCATTTGGAGTGCTGCGGTATCCATCTTTGGCCTGGAAAATACTTATAGCTTGTGGCTGGGAGACCCGGCTGGGCACGTGTCCGTGTCTCCTGCCCTCGGCTGCCAGGTCAGGGTGGCAATAACGGCTGAGGGATGGCACGGTGTCCGGCACCATGCCTCATCCTCTGAAGGCCTGGGACTGGACATTCATGGGCCGGGTCCCCAGGTACATCCCTGAGGGCATGCAGTGCTCGTGCGGGATTGACTACTACACGCTCTCGCCTGAGGTGAACAACGAGTCCTTCGTCATCTACATGTTCGTGGTCCACTTCACTATCCCCATGATCGTCATCTTCTTCTGCTATGGGCAGCTGGTCTTCACCGTCAAGGAGGTGCGGGCAGGCCGGGGTGGGGGGCTTGGGGTGGTGTCCGGGTGGGCGCTGGGCATTGGTGCCGGGCGACAGTGCCAGGTGCCACCATCTGGACACAGGCCCCGTGTCCCCATAGGCAGCTGCGCAGCAGCAGGAGTCAGCCACCACCCAGAAGGCAGAGAAGGAAGTCACCCGCATGGTGATCATCATGGTCATCGCCTTCCTGATCTGCTGGGTGCCCTACGCCAGCGTGGCCATGTACATCTTCACTCACCAGGGCTCCAACTTTGGCCCCATCTTCATGACCATCCCGGCGTTCTTCGCCAAGAGCTCCTCCATCTACAACCCCGTCATCTACATCATGATGAACAAGCAGGTGCCTGCTGTGGGGCCCCAGGGCGGTGGAGGTGGGGGCTCTGGGGTCCTGCCCTGGGCTGCTGGATCTGAATCCCAGCTGGGCCCAGGACACTGCGCGTCTCACAAGCCCGCGAGGTGACCCTGGCGTTGGTCAAGTGTGACAGGCAGCAGCTCTGGTGGCTCTGGAAGCTGGCTTGGAAAGCCAACCAGTCCCGAGTTTGGGAAGGGGCTGGCCCAGCGGTAAAGCTGGTGGGTGGAGCCACCCTTCCTGAGGCCAGCATTCCTCCGGGGACACAGTGTCTGCAGTCAGGCATCCTGGGTGAAGACACTGGCTCTGCCATCTTCTAGCTGGGCAACATTAGGCAAGTCAGTTCCCTGCTCTGGGCCTCAGTTTCCTCTTCCTAGAAAGGACAAAATCCCAAACTCTGGAATTCAATGAGAAAACTGTAGGTCCCCACCCTGACCCTGTCCCTTGCCTTCCAGTTCCGGAACTGCATGCTCACCACCATCTGCTGTGGCAAGAACCCGCTGGGTGACGATGAAGCCTCCACCACCGCCTCCAAGACTGAGACCAGCCAGGTGGCCCCGGCCTAAGCCCAGCTGGGACCCCTGCAGCCAACTGTAGGACTCCCCACCCCCACAGTCACCCCACCAAGAGCACACCTGCCACAGGGTGGCCATGCATGCCCCTGACTTTGTTTCTTTTTAAATAATCAATGAGAGAAAAATGAGGCTCCCCACTCTGCGGGCACAGCCTGAGAAAGGATACCCACACAGTCCCCTGATCTGGAGTCCCCCAGCTCCCAGGGGTCTGTACCCCACCCCCCAGCTTGTCTTGGGAACGCAAGAACTCTTGCTCTCTGGAAAAGTGCCCCACTTAGGGCTAAGCTTCTAGCACACAATGGGCACACAGTAGGTGCTTAATAAATGCTAGCTGGATGAAGGAATGGGTGAAGGATGAACGGAGGAACGCATGAAGGGTGAATGGGTACGAGGACGTATCCATCCTCTCAGACCCCATGACACACAGTGGTTCCCCACCATGACATGGGACCCCAAAGCTCAGCCCTGACAGTACTTGGCTGCTGCAAAGACCAAATGAGATGGCGTGTGTGTTTGTGTGGGTGCGTGTGCATGTGTGCATGTGTGTCTAAGCACTTTGTAAACTGTAAGGAGCTGTACTGATTGCAGTCTACTTTATGAAAAATATCAACTAATACGATTAGTGAATTATGATAGTCATCTCTGTTTGACAGTCACAATTTGGGGATCAGCCGGGTCCCAGCATTCAGACAAAGGGAAGCCCCACTGCAGATTTTCAAAATCAGCCTGGGCCACGGGATGGGTGGCAGGGAGAGACAGCTCCAGGGATGCAGGGTGCAGCCAGCAGACCAGAGAAAGCTGCTCAGGGCCTGTGGAAGCCAGGCCCGTCCTTAGGTGTCTGGAAGCCACCTGCTGTTCCTCCTTGACACCTGGACCACAGGTACCCTGTCCAAGCTTAACAGAGGGCTGAATCCCTGCTGTCACTGGTCTTGGAGAGCTTAAAAACCAAGGGGCATGTGGCTGAGCCACTCCCCAGGGGCTCCTGGGTCCTGGTTTCCAGCCCCCTTGTGGGACCAGCTCATCTTCAGCAGCCCCAGCCTGTCCCCCTCCTGCAGTCTACTCTGAAGCCTGCAGGGTCAGAATCAAGCCACTTCAGTTGCTGCCAGAGCCTGGAGGCCGAGGCCTATGGGGCATTAAAAGCTCAGCTCGGTCCTACTGTCTGTGGTGTGGTTTCTTGCTGTCAGCCTCTTCACCTGCAGGATGGACTGGAGTGGGCCGGTCCCACCTGAAAACTAGCCCTAGGGGATGGGCTGCCCAGTGGGAAGAGCAAAGTAGCTCAGTGTCACTGGGGAGCAGGGAGGACCTGGAAGGAGGACACCTCACCTGGGAGTTACAGAGATGCAGGGACCTGTGAAACCACAGCAAGCTCTGTAACATCTGCAAGCTTCCCTGAGTCTGATCTGAAGGGATGAGCAAGGCTGGGACTTTGCTCTGGGTGTGCAGTCAGTCAAAGACTGAAATCTCCAGGTTCAGAACTGGCCTTACTGGACACTGGGCCCCCAGAGGAAGAGGTGGAGATGTAGTGGCTGGGAATGCCCTGTCCTGCTGGGTGACAAGAAGCAGAAGCTGTGCACCAAGATCAAGGTCCTGGGCCATAGCAGGCTGGAGTAGGTACTGGAAGAGACTTTGATCACTGCCCCTCTTCCCTGTCTACCTGGGTGGTAGCAGGTAGGGCACCTCTGGTGACAAACCATGGGACATGTAGTTCCAGTGGGTGAAAGGGAAAGGGTGCCATTACTGTCCCACAGAAAAGAAAAGCCCAGGGCTGCAGGCATAGGTGACATGATCAGCGCCGTCTTTCCCCTTTTGGCTACACTTTCCCATGTTTGCTTCATTCACAGGCCAATTCCCATGAGGTGGCAGAAATGGCTGCCCTGGTTCCAGGCTCAGCAAGTGGGCATCTCCTCCGCCTTAGTACAGCCAGGGCTCCGATTGGTCAGGCCCAGGTCCTGTGATCACCCTTGAGCCTGGACTGGGACTCATCCTCTTATTGGCCAGGTTTGAGTCACCTGATCACCCCTGAGCCCAAAATAGGATCAAATCACATAACCCAGGTCGCCTGCAGTGGGGAGAGGCAGATTCCTGCCATGAGCCAGTTGGAATGGACACTAAGCCTGTGAGGCTCAGAGCACAGCGAGGCCCAGGGCCCCCCTGGGATGCGAGGAAGAAGAGTGGGGCGCTCTCACCCTCCATTCCATAGACTGTGTCGGCCGGGTGGTGGTGGTGGGACAGGGGTATTTGGTCCGCTCAGTCCTGCACTGTCCTGGGAATCCAGCCCCAGTCCACTGCCTCTGAGGAGCCGTGTCTGTCAGCTTCACACATCCAGGGAAAGGGGCCTCAGAGCTTTCCTAGCTCGGATGGTGACCCGACAGCCCCAACTGTCACACTCACAGAACTGCTGATGGCAGCAGGGGAAGGGGCCTCCTTGTCACCAAATTACAGGCAGCCCACAGGTCTATGGGGCACCTGCTGCATACCACCCACGGGCCAAGCCTTCGGGAGCCACACCCAGGCCGGCATGTGCTGGGACTCGGATGGAACAGAGGGTGTGGCAGCCTCACAGTGCAGAGCGCCCCTCACCACCTAAGGTGCCCCAAGGAGACAGCGTGGGCCTGAAGCTCCCTGGACCATTGCAGGCCTCTAGTCCCCCAGCTGGAAGGAGGGGAATAGCCCATTCAGAGGGATGAGGGTGCCTCCATGTGGAGGATCTGCACGCAGTAGGTGTTCAATAAATGTAAGTCCCTCACAGAGGCATAAACAGAGCACAGAGGGGGCAACCCTGGTGTGAAGATGGGCAGGTGGATGGGAACTGGGACTCAGGAAAGGGAAGTAAGGGCTATCTGCCCCCACAGCCCTCTCTTTCCTTTCCGGCATTCTGTCCAGCACACAGCAGCACGTCTGTCACAGCTTCCCTTGCACCTGTGGGGACCTGACTTTAAGGTCTGGTCACTGAGGTGTCCTCAAGGCAGGCGTGGACAGCCTCTGGGGTGTGCCTCTCAGAGAACAGAGGTGCCCTCCACTTCCTGTCCTCTTTCCTGCCTACTGGCTGAAATGTCAACATGATGGCTGGAGTTGCGACAGGTATGTTAGACCTCGAGGTAGAATCTGAGGACAGAGAATGCAAAGCCTCAGAGCCGCCATCGCTCCCCAACGCTGCCTCACAACTTCCCACAGTTTCACGAGGTCATGGCTCCCTGGTTGTTGTTTATGCGCTGCTGCTTGGAGTCGTGCCTTCATTATCCCCACCAGCTCCCAGGTTGTGGGCAGGCCAGCTTCCCAAGCACGTGGACACAAACTGGCAGCTGGTACTGTTTCTGCCGTCACAGGTGTCCTGGTGACACGGGGCTGCGGTTACACCGAGCAGATGCCTGTGACGGCCTCAGAGGTTCAGACGTGTGTGCTTCTCCCCAGGTAGGGCTGGGGAGATCCAAGGCAGTAGGGACAGGAAAGTTTCCAGCCTCAGCTTCAGGGGAAACGAGGGGAGGCCGGGCCGGGTGGTGCCTGCCAGTAGCATTTCTCAGCAAAGTGGCAAACCCTGAGGAATTTTTAGACCCTACAGCTCATTTTAGAACTGCTTCCCTCTGAATGCAAAACTCAATCCTGGCACAGGCCGGGAGTAGGGCTTCGGCTGACGTTCGTGGGAATGTTTACATCACAGAGCGATTCTGTTTCTCAATTCTTGGAAACGCCCCACCAGTGCGATCAAAATTGCTGCCCTGTATGTGCCAACTTCTATTTGCCTCTTTGCTTCGGCCATCCCCTGCTCCCTGAGGGGCAAGCGGCAGTTTCCAGGCTCCCCTCCACTCGCCCGGCTAGGCTCTGGCCCTCAGACTTCACAGCTGCACAGCAATTGAGCACCTACTATGTGCCTGGCACGGGGGTTACCGCCAGGAAAAAGGCACAGCTGTCTTGAGGGCGAGGGGCAGGGAAGGCAGAGCAGTAATTTGGGATGCTGGAGGCTCCTGGGGAGCAGTCCAGGAACTGCATTCCCCTTAGGAGGGACCCCTAACCTTGTAGGGGCCAGGGAGGGCTTCTCCGAGGAAGCGTCAGGGAAGGCCGGGGTGTGGGTCAGAAGGCGCTAAGGGTGGTGGAGCGGCTGCGGCTACACATGGGCCTGGATGTGAGCTGGGGTGCAAAGCTGCGACTATTTCTGCACTGATTTAACACCCTCGGGAAGCATGAAGGGCAGTGCCCAGCACCGGCACGCAGCCCCCCTGGAGCTCAGCACAGTTTAGAGCTCCGGGACAGAGAAGGATCTGTAAGGCCAGCTGCATGGCTTGAGCTTTTAACTAGAGCACAGGGCGCCGTGCAGGGTGCCAGGCTGCCGAGGGTGTTGGACTTCTTTTCAGGACCCTGAGGGCCACCAGATCTACGGGAATTGGGACGCCTCGGAGATAACCCCAGCACTAGAGAGAGAAAGATGTGTCTTTTAACCATCTCCAAGTCCAGTGCCTTCTCTCCAGAGTGACCCTGCTGCTTCCCTGGCAAGAGCACTTCAGGTCCTCTGTGGCTTCACACACACACACACACACACACACACACACACACACACACACGGTTATCTTCATGGCTGTATACTGTTCCATGGTGTGACCAGGCCACAGCTGGCCTGTCCTCCATTTGACAGGCACATGGGTTGCAGTGCTCAGCCTCACCTGTCGGTGGGAGTTCCGGGGCTTCCCCCAGAGCAGTAGGGAGAAGGGGATATAGGGTAGGCCTGGGGATGTAGCTCAATGGCATAAGCGCTTGCCTGGCAAGCCTGAGGTCATGAGTTTGATTCCCGGTACCAAAACAAAAAAAGGAACCGCTTGGTGTTGCCACATGACTTCCAGGGGCAGCTGCCAGCTCCCTCCTGGCTACTGTGTATTTTGACACAACCCTGACAACACTGACAGACACTTTTGTCAATCTGTGAAGGCGGAAACACAGCCTCGCCCTGCTTAGCGCACCGTGTCCCTCCCCGTGGAGGTGCCACTGTAACCACGCAGCAGCCTCCTCTGACCTCGAGATGCTCCACCTGGCCCCTCAGCTGCTCCTGCTTGAGGAAGCGGAGATGGGTGGAGGCTGGGCCTGGAGGCGTCCATGCCACCCCCCCAGGTGCTCCCGATTCCCTGGCAGCCGCTGCAGCCCGTGGGAGGGACCAAGCACTTCAGCGCTCATTGATTCCCGGAGTGCAAGGCCCGGGGCAGTCAGTAGCTCACCTGTGCGGGCTTGGAGCAGGCGGCCGCGCTGGGGCCGAGAGCCCAACCCTTACCTTCTGGCCTCCACCGGCGCTCGGGGCATCCCTGCGGACACCAATCAGGGCTGATTGGCAGGCCGGGCTGGCACAACTACAAAAAGTGGGTGGGTTGGCGGGGCCTCATGTGTGAACAGCGGAGGTGGCTACCCGCAGCTGTCCTTCAGATGGCTCCTGTGAGCGTCTCTTCTTCCTTCCTCTCCTCCACAGCGGGGTCAGCAGAGCCCCCTGGGAATGGAAAGCCAGGTGAGCAGGGGGCACCCCCACTCTTGTGACCCCATCCCCGCACCCTTGCATGCTGCCTCCTCCCAAGCTGGGCCCAGAGGCCCACAGTTGTCCACTTGGTAGAAGGGCCCAGCTGAAGAAGCCTTGCCCAGGCCTGGCTGCAGGCGTGGGCCATCCTGTCTGTCAGCTGCCCCTGTGCCTCCAGGAGGAAGGCCAGCGGGCAAAGGCCCCCAGGGAGAGGCTGCTGCAGCACTTAGGAGCTGAGGGCTTCATTCTTGGGGACGAGCTTTGGGGGGCAGGGGCTCGCTACTGAAGGCCAGTGGAGCCACACAAGGCTCCAGACAGGGCGAGGAGGGGGCGGGTCATGCAGGGACAGAAGTGGCTGGGGCTGGGGCTGG